AAAGTGGAAATGGTTCTCTCTCCATAAAGTGAGAAGTGTAATCTTTCTGACTTTTTTCTCATTTTAGTGTTGATGCTGGAGATCGTAGAAAACCTGTACATTGGATGAGTGAAGTTCTTCCTTGTCTCCTTTCATTCTCAAGGGCTAAAAATATTCTAAGTATTTAAAAATACTCAAACATTTTTCTGTTTAAGTCCTGCCTATTGTTACTCTCTGCTGAATGTAGTTTCTTAGCTTAATGGTAAATTCAAAATGAAAAATACCTGTCGAGTTGTGTGAACTGTGACTGCAAAGGACATGGCTCTGTAGAGCAGTAATAAAAGTAACATTACCTGGTACTATGTTTGAAGTTATTGAATTCCTCATCATTTATCCAGAATAGGAGGGCCAAGGTCTAATTTACAAATCCCTGACTGCTGAAAGCTAGTTTATTTATTATAGTCGCTGGAACTTTCCTGTCTTTTCCAAGTGTACACGAAGTATACACATATTCACACAAAGATAAGACATGTTAAGCCCCAGGCCTTCATCCAACCTTAGTCAATTAACTGAGTGTATAAATTAGAAATCTAACATTTTCTGATGGATAAGAGATGGTTTACCTTTAATTAATCTACCTCTTTTCAATACTTTCTACCTCTTTTCAATACCTATGATGAGCATTCCCAGTCTCAAGCGCAGGTACTCAAAGATGGTGTTTCCATTTAAAACCTGAACTCAAGCATCAGAGATTGGCAATATTTGCACTTATCAATCAGAGAAAGAAAAAAAAAGACATGTTGGAATCAGAATTTCATTAAAATTAGGTAATGATACTTAATTGGTTACCTGAAAATAGTTATTTTCCACTTCAAGAAAGCAGACAACAGAAGTCAGAGTTCTGTCTGCTTGCCTAAGTTCACTCCTAAGGCCAAAGAAAGGGCCTGAAAAGATTCTATTTCAAGAATTATTGCAAGAGGGTTTAACCATGTGTTGTCAATTTTTTTCTCCATTCTCCAGCTTGGGGTAAAATAATAAACCATGCTCTATTTAAAAATAAAAATAAATATGTCTTTTTTTTACCTCCTCATTCTCTTTGATCCCCTTTTGGTTCCACAGATTCGTATTTCTAATATACCTTTTCTTGCTGGTGGACCACATCTCCTCTCTATTATTGAAAAATAATATTTTGACAGGCCAATATTTAAAAATAGTCAAGAAGTTTTAATATTATGGCTATGTTTTCCAAACATTTTTTGAAATAGCTATATAATCAGAAAGGATAAATTTTAAGGTGGCCACAGTGCTGCAAATTAAAATTAAATAACTGTTGTGGTTTTAAACTAATAACTAAGAAAATTACTTATTTCTTGCTGTGAGATATGGATTAGAACAAGAGCAAAACAGGAATAAAACTTAAAAGGGAAAAAAAAAGTTTATTGACAAACTACAATAATAAGAACACCAGAATAAACTTCCAGAAAAAAACTTTTCATCCCCTATCTACCCACTATTCCCTTATTCACATGACAACAGAGACAAAAACTTTGGAACTTTGATGGTTAAAACAGTCCCAATTCTTGCTACAGTCTTTTCACCAGTCTTTGTAGAGAAACAGAAGTTTCTTCCTGTTAATTTATGGAGTTTCTCACAAGAAAACTATTTTTGTTATAGTTTTCTATTGCCCTAATGTTAGCTGCCCAGAGCTGCTATTATTAGAGTTCATTCCTCCCATTTTCACATCACTCTGAAGTGTGTGTATGGGCCATGCGTCTAGAGATAGCATTTTTAAGGATAAGTTATTCAAAGGCAAAAAAAGTCTTCTTCATCTGTTTCTGTGAGCTTCACCAGAAAACAGTTTTCTCATTGCCTCTCAAGGCTTCAAATCTCCCAGCACTACACTATACCATAATTACTCTACTTTTTACTCAAATTTACACTTTGAACACTTTATTCCTCTCTAGATACTGTATCATGAATTAAAGGAGTTCTTTTCAGGACTTCATTGTCCATCTCCATAGTTTTAACAGAAAGATATTTCAGCTGAATTAAAGCATCTTCTTAATTCTCTACCTTTCCTGAAGCTTCTTTTCTTTCCTGTCACTGGTAGTTTATAAAGTCTCGTTTCATGTTCATCTCTCTCTCTCTCTCTCTGGATAAAAAGATTAATCCGCAAGTCTCATCTGGGTAATGAAAGAGTTAAAATCTTGCCCAGGCTTTTGTAGATGGTTCGGAGATCTCTGCCGAACAGGAGCTGGAGCCGTCTGCGACGGAAGGTTCCTCATAGCTGCTCTGGAGAGTGTGGCTGTCTCCGCTTGCTGCAGGTCCTGAGCTTCTCTCCCTCTTCACTCGGCAGTTTCCAGTGAATTCAGCTACAGCAAAACCTGCAGCTGAGCCAGAGATCGGGCCCGGCTCGGCCCGGCCCAGGCCTGAGGAAAACCTTCCCCAGGCCCCCCCATCTCCCGGCCTGGAGACGGGGCAGGCCCGGCCCCATCCCCGCCCGGCCGCATGGCCTGGGCAGGGACGGGAGGCCTGGAGCTCAGCCACCCTCCACAGCCAGAAAACAAAGAGAACCCAGAGAGCTCTGCTTTTACATTTTAAGGTAGGGTTCACAAGTTGATCCTACTTTTCAATGGCCTAAACTGCTGTCAATTCCCAGCAATGACCGATAATTGGTCAGGAGAAAAGACTCCAAGCACTTCCCAGCAACTCCAGCTCCCTTAAAGGTAAAGTAACTCCATGACAATAACACAGCATTACTTTGTCCATTTTTAATTCATTTTTAAATGCTGGAAAAGTTATCTTTTTGCAATCTCTATGCCAGGAGCTATTCCTGAGTGCTTAACAAATCTGAAAGCCAAGCTAGTTCTTCATTTTGATCCTGTGTATTAAAGGGAGATCTGAAGTAACACCAGCTATAGCAACACATCTTTCTATAAATTACGTGATATTCCATGTTTTTGTTCTCTTTACTCAGAGTTCAGTGACAACCTTTTAGCTATTTCAGGCTTGTTTGGGGTTTTTTTCTAGTCACTCTTGTTTCCCTAATTCGCTATCAATTTAGCAAAAATCTCAGTGGAAACTGTGGTGCTGACTAGGGATTCTGATGGGTTATGAGGAATTAAATTCTGTATGACAGCTGTGTCCTTTTTACAAGGTTTATATTCCCAACCTTTGTGTATTGCAAGGTTTCATTGAAGTTGCACATTCACATCTTGACAGAAAAGCTGTCTGAAGATCATCAAAATTCTTGAGGTAACCAGAAGGAAATTTGTAATCAGTTGTGGACATATTTGCCTTTTCTATTGGTTTCACTCTTTTGTAAACAAAAACTTTATTATTTTTATGCCAATTCAGACAGGATTTTGTGATGGGTACACAGATAATGTGGCAATTTAGCACGAGTCAGGCATTTAGCAACTCATATCATAAAATGTGACAGACTTTTCAATTTCAATAAGATTTCATAAGTTTAGAAGCAAGGAATTTTTTATTAACAATTAATTTAGGTAACTTTTATTGCATTCATTATTTTGAAATACATCGTATTCAATATTTATGGGGAAGCCACAACTTTTTGTCATTTAGTGTACACACTACTAGGACAATCTACCCTTTTGTCAGCTATGGACATTTCTGATGAAAACTCTTACCTGGAATGGCAACATTTGGATTAATTTGCTTTCATATGTATGATTGCCTAGTGGAATACAAAACCTTTGTATTTTATTTTATCTTTACTTGTCATACCAAACTTATCGAGTATAGGTGCATCACTGCTTTACAGTTTGAGGTATAATTCCACCTGCTAAGAAAATATAAAGTCTAGTTACCTTGGAAGATTATTATTACCATCTCTTCTGCTGTTTTCAGAAACAGAAGTAATGGACTAGAGGTTTTCCACATAAGAGTTTGAAGCATTTTCTCAAATCCCTTCTGACATCTGAGAGCCTAAGACTTTTATCAGTACTGTGCTACTTCTACTCTCATCATTTGCTCTTTAGGTGTTTTCTTCCTTTTTGTCATAGTGCTGGGGGAAAAGAAACAAATAAAATTTTCTGTTATACCAAAAAAAAAATGCTATTTCCTTTATCTTAAGCAAAAATTTACCTGATTTTTTAACCATTCATAATCTGATTTCAGTCTTTGAAAGGAAGGGAGGATGCTGGGCTGGGTAGGTGTGAGAGAATGGACTATTGTCCATATAGCCAACAATATCTTAATTTTGTTCTTGTGATGAAAGTAGTTGATCACTTAGCTTCTGCTCTAAGAAGCATTACAATAATGTAATCTACAATTCTTATGATTTATGAAGAATTTCTGAAACAAAAGAAGGAAACTAAATGTTTGAGTGGAAAATATTTTTTTTTTGTCATTTATCTAGAAAAACAGGTCAAATTTCCAATTTATTGATAAACAGCAAAGTCCTTTGAAAATCAGAAAAAAAAGATGCTGCCATTCACTGATAGAAGAAAACACAGTTTTGGTCTTCTTTTTTGAACACAGAACACAAAGACTACTCTCTTTGCCCAGTTCTCTCCTTAGGAACCTTTTCTTCCTTAAAACCTTACAGAAAATAGCTACCTAATGCTTTTATTTCTAATGGAAGACAATGTAATACTCTTCCTGCATCATGCCTTGCACTAATCCTGCTGAATAACCATGAGTAACCATGTACTTTCATTGAAGTTGGTTTCACCTCTCATTTTATGTTCTAATATCTTGTTAGTCTTGTAGTCGGACTGATTGAAAGGTCTCTTTGAAAGCTGCTCAAGAAGAAGCCTTACTTTGTGTCTATAGAGGAGCATCATCTTTCCCAGTATGCTTAAATAATCTTTATTAAGATTTATTTTTTATATATATATATTATATTATATATATATTATATTATATGTATTATCTTTATTAAGATTTATTAAGATTTTTAGCTTAATTAGAAAAATAATTACCGTTTTCATTTTTTTTTCCTTTGTGGAGATTGGAAAGGAGGTAATATATTTACATCAAACAGATGGGTTTATGTTTCTTTACCCCTTCCTCCTGTATATGTAAAAAAGATTTAAATATAAATATGTATTAATCCCTCTGCATAAAACATTAGTATTGAGGGACTTCTCCATTAAAATATTGAAAAAGACCACAAAATATTTTGACACTATGTGACTGTCTCATCAATGAAATGAAAGAGGACAGGTTTTTCGACAGAATTTTGTTTTCCCTTGAAGCTCTGTAATTTCTTCAAGTACTACCCAATACTGCAAGAACTTATAGCTGTAATCATATGATATCTGAATTTATATTATAGCATACATTGAAAAACATTGAAGGCATAACTTTTCCTTTAGGCATATACAATCACATGAACACCAAGTACAAATGTATGAAACACAGTAACTTAGATGAAGCTGGGATTATCACTTACTTTTCTTCTTCATTCCTACTTTTAATATTGATGATCTACTGACAGTTCATCCTATCTTAATTCTTAATATTCTTAATATTACCTCCTGCTCACAGTACTGTAACTACTTTTGTCAGTTAAGGGGAAATTGGTTCATTTTTCCATTTCTTTTTTTATAAACTACAGTAGCTTTTATTGCTGATGAATCTTCTGAACCACCAGAATGATCTGTTCCATTACCTTTCCCGGGAAGGGGCTGAGGCTGACCCTCCAGTAGCTTCCCAGGTCCTCCTTCTTGTCCTTTGAGGATGGGAGTAACATTGGCTTTTCTCCTGTAACTGGACACCTCTCCTGTTCTCCATGATTTTTCAAGGGTAATGGACAGTGTTAGCAACATCTGCCAGCTCCCTCAACACCCAAGGGAACATCCCACCAGGGCCCATGGATTTATGGGTGTTAAGTCAGCCTATCTGATCTCTGACCAACTCTGTCTGATCAAGGGGAAGTCTTTCTTTCTCCAGCCTTCCTCTCTTAAATCCAAGGTCTTGGAGTCCTGAAGGCTTTTCTCAGAAGTCTAAGGCATAGGAGATATTCAGTATTTCCACCTTCTCTGTGTCTTCTACCACCCATTTGGTTCAGCAATAGCCTCACATTGTCCCCAATCTTCCCTTTGCTGCAGATATTCTTAGAGAAGTCCTTCTTGCTGTCCTTGCCAGACTCAATTCCAAGTGGGCCTTGGCCTTCCTCTTGCATTCCTGAAAATGTTACTGTAGTCCTCCTACGTGGCCTGTCCCTTTTTCCATATCCCATATAATATTTTTCTGCTGAGATTTGTAAGAAGCTCCCTACTCATCCATGTAGGTTTCCTGTCCCCTTTACTTGATTTCTTGCTCATGCCTCATTTCTTGTTATTCATACACTGGAAGAAATTTCTGTGTGCATTTTCATTTTTAATGTATATAATTTTCTCCAGCAGAAATACTTTTGAGGATTTATATGACTGCCTTGTGATTTTTGTTTTTATGTCACAACTGAACAAGCTTAATTATCCACATTATGCTTGTAGCAACAAACCTGATTTTGAAAGTGTTTTCCATCTTCCAACACCTACAATAATGTTCTATTTGAAGTTCCCATCCTTTTAAAGTCTCATATCTGACAGAACTGTTTTTATTTTTTGTGTTCACTTAGAATGGTCACAAATTATTGCACAATTAAGCAACCCTCAAAAGCTCAAAAGTAAGCCATCTGAGGTTTTCTTGTGCATTGGTTTTGCCCTGATTGGCAGCCAAGCACCCAACTGGTTGCTTAGTCCTACCTACTACAAGATGGGGAAGGAAACAAACAGACTGTTTGTGGAAAAAACTCATATTAAAATAATAATGGGAAATCACCTCCTAGTTACTGTCACAGGCCAAACAGACTCAACTTTGGGAATTTAAATTTAATTACTTTGGGAATTTAACTTTAAATACTGATTGAAATATTCAAAAGCTAAGCCAAACATTTAAGCAATTGTGGAAAGTACTTCTTAACATTTCCTAATCTCTACCTTTTTACTCTTGCAGGCTGCACCCAGGCTTTTCAATAAAGCACAGGAAACTGGTGACATTTCACTTCCTACCATTTCTGCTCCTTGCACTTTCCTCCCAATTCACTTTTTAGCATACTCATTTCTGCTGCTCCAGTGTAGGTCCTCTACACATCACACTCTCTTCAGGAAAGCAGCCATTCTAACATGTCCTACAATGTCTGTAAGCCCTCCAGGGGTTTTACAGGCTTTGCTAGGGAGTACCTCCTGCACACCTGGCCCTGATATTCCACCTACCTTCCCTCCCACAGCACCTCAGTGTGGTCCTCCTTCTCAAATGTGTTTCCCAGAGGCATCACACACTTGGCTGAAGGGCTCAGCTGTGCCCTGTGATGAGTCCATCAGGGCCAGCTGGAGCTCCTGTACTTATCATAGGGCAGCCCCTGGGCTCTTCTCACAGAGACCATCCCTTCATTCCCACCACTGTCAACACTTCCAGGTAACGCATCCTGCTACAGAATGACACTCAGAAATACCCAAACCTGATAGAAACGCGCATTCAAATCTGTCTAACCTCTTCAAGACAGAGTTACTAAAGAACAAGAGGGATTTGGCTTCTCTTACTGTTTTTGGTGGTGGTGATATTTTTGAGGTTGGTTTGGATTTATTTTTTGTTTCAAAATGGTTAATGCATACTAAGAGCCATATTAATTTAGGGAGCAAAGGAAAAAAGGAAAACAGCAACTAGAGGATTGGAAACAAGCATTAAACAAAGAATAATAATGAAAAATGGTTTTGTTTACAGTAAGAAAAATGTAACCAGTCAGATGTAGATTTTTATTTTTTTTAATCAGGTATTTTGTGTTTTTTTAATCAGATAATGTTTGCCTTAAAATGATGGAGATATTTTTATTTCATTTACTCAAGAAAAATCAACCAATTCTATCTCTACCAATTGCACTTTAAGTTTCTGCATGGTGTTATCTTTCTTTGTTGAATAGCAGTGCTTCTCTGTCTGTTCATAGAGTATCTTACAAAGTAATTTTCCTCCCACTGGCTGATCTCAAATAGAGTAAAAAAAAAATTTTTATTTCTTTTTTCATTTTTTTCTCTCCCCATATTTGCCTCCTTACTTCTTGTCATTTGTGATACAATTAAGGACTATACAACAAATTTTGTATTCATCCTTGTCTAATGCTCTTATATTGCTTTGCCTTCTTTTCAGATATTGTTATATCAGATATTCAGGATTTTATGTAGTCCTGGTAAAATAAAACCAGTTATTGTTTTCTTAGCTATAATCATGTTTTATTGAGAAATTAGGATCTGCTACCATGGGAGTGGTATATGAATCCAGGTGTTGATTTTATATTGAGCTTTCAATTCCCAGCTATGTATTTTCAGGGTTATTTTTTGTTTGCAAAAGAAAGTTACGTTGTTTACACTGCAGCTGATGAAAATGGTCATGTACATAAAGAAGCCTTTAAAACAAGGGTAAAGCAAATGCCCACTCTCACTGTTTAATAACCTTTTACTTGTTTTTCTGATAAGTTGCATGTAGTTATACACAATATAATACTCTTCAATTAAAAAAAGTATTTTAGTATGCTCACAGGTCACTGGATGTTCAAGTTCTTTATCAAAAATCAAGGATTACTTTTTTAATTGCTTTTGAAATGTTTACCCGGTGAGGTTCCAAAATTACTTATCTAAAAGAAGTGGATATTAAGCTCCTCTCCTATGAGCTGGAAGATAAGCTTATTTTATATTTGTTTATGAGGGATTTATGCAGTTAGGGTTTACTGAAGTTTATGAAAACAAAATATCTCTTCATAAAATATCATTATATCCTCCATTCTCAACAAGGGAAACTGCCATTATTTGCAAAATGCAGTGTGAGTAGGATTTTTTTTTCTGCTCAGTGACTTTTTGCAAAAACTAAAAAATGCTATGGGGTTTTTTAGGGCTACACATGACTGGGCCTTTCTGTTGCTGGACCTGACAAAAAGCTGTAGTTGGGGTTTCTTTCAGAAAATTGCACAGGAATGGCAAGAGGACTGTAGGTTTAAATGCACAGTAAAAGCATCCCCTGGTTCTAATAGAAGACATACAAGTGCTCCACCTCCACCTTGGCGGCTCACGATTGCACTGATAGCAAGGGGGGATGGAACTAATACCTGAAGGGCTGCTAATTGCACTGTCCAGACCCAAATTAAGATTTTTCTGAGAGGCAGTCACTGGCTTCAGGAACAACAGATTGACATCTTGCTTCAGAATTAACATGTCACTCTCTGGCTAAAAAGCTAAGGAAAACCAGAGTTTTCCAGGAGGAAGTAAGACAGGATGTAACATATATGGTATTGCCATTTTGCTTTGGTTTATAGTTTGAAAGCAAATTGCATTCTGTGAATAAAATCTGTGTATAAATATTTACCTAGCTGAGGATGGCTACTGCATTCATTCCTGATTTGAAAAGTCCTTTTCTTTAAAGTTTTTGAAAGTTTTTTTCTTCCCAAAGAGCATATGTTATGTTATTTATAATCACATGCGAAAAAATGAGAAACCAATCTATTACTGTTTAATTTCTTCCTAAGCTTGTAAAAACAGAGGTTCCCAATAGTTTCATAAATTAATCTATACTTTACTGTGAGTTTAGACACCAGAAGCCAGAATGAATGGCAAAGGCCATGATACAGAAATGGATTTGGGTACCTCTGCTCTGCTTTAAATATCAAAGTGCAAGAGTTCTCATCACTCTCTAAATGGTCAGCTTTCTTTAGGGATCTAAAGTTCTATTGTTAAGTATTTGAACAGACAGAGCTTGATGAAGCTGGCTGATTTAACACCCTTCTCTCATCACCTTTCCTTAATCAGGGTCCTTTAGGTTATCTGGTGAATGTTTCCCAAGCCTGTTTGCAAGAATGCATGTTTTAATTTGTTTTCTTTTTTGAAAAAAGAAACAAATAGATAAACCAAACAAAAAAAATATTACATATTTATTATAAGAAAATCATTAATTATCTTGCCTTAAAAGAAAAAAAAAAAAAAAGAAGAAAAGAAAAGCGTAATTAGTCCCAATTCCTGTTCTGAATGATGTTAAAATAAATTGCACTGGAAGTAGGATTGTGAAAGAGACCCAAATCTCTAAATTTTGGATATACCAAGACAGAGTTCTAGGTGAAAATAACCTGCATGTAGCTACCCACTGCAAATATTAGAGGAGGGCAGCTTTCAGACAGGTTTTTCCCACAGGAGTGATGATTTCTGAATTGCTGCATAGAAAGCAGTCAAGGCACTGTTTTTTTTAGCTTTCTTCATGGTGAGTTTATCCACTTCCATGCCTGAAGACAAAGAATATAGTCAATAGTTTAGAATCTTGAACTGAGGTAGACATTTTCTTCCAGATTATCATTAAATTCTCCTTGACAATGAAGTATTAGTCATACTCATTTCCAGTACTCATTGTTGAGTTTAATCCCAGTTTTCTAGCTTTGGTAAATCTCATTTTTAGCATTTGACCTTTCTAAAAGTATCATTAAGATTTCATTCCTGATCTTGAAAATGTAGATTTCATTAGTATACTGATAAAGTTGAGTCCAGTGTTGTCTTTTTTTATGGTGAATGGAAGACACCAGATTCAGAGATTCTCAAGATGACAATGGGAGAAATCAAACACAACACTATGAATTCCAGCATGACCCAACACCTCTTAAATTCAGAGGGATCATAGAAGAGACATGTAGTTACGGAAGAAGTGATTAGTTTTGAAGAAATACCTTTTCTACAAGATCTCTAGAGAGACATTTTTGTCATCTCAGAAAACTGAGCCATATGAAAGCTTATTATTTCACTTACAGGATGCATCAAGGACTGTGGATGTTCCACTTGAGGCTTCCAGCAAAACATGTCATTCACCTACAACTCTCTTCTAGCCAAAAAAGCCAAAATCAAATCTTTTGTGTTCTAGTAACATTTTCAATGTAAGTTTTCCCATTAAAGGTGAAAAATGTAATAATAGAAATGATAGAAAAATGGATATATCTTTTCATTTTCTGCAGTGCCTCCTTTCCACAAATCTTTATTCCTTATTGCACTAGAAATATAGTGAACTCAATTATGGAGGTTACTGAAACATCTCTTAATTTTAGACTTCCATGATGAACACAATGAAGAAATTGATTTTAAAATGTTATCCATATTTTTTATCTTAAAGCAGTGTTACTTTTTTTTTTATTTCCAGAGATACAAGTAGTTTCATAAATACTCAAAGGAAATTGTTTTCTATATAGAATGATGATTTTTTTTGTATATCTATATACATGGGAGTAATTAATGATGATAACAATAGTCTACTAAATCATTCCCACTTGAATGCTAGAGCAAATTACAAATTCACTTTTGAATTGTATGTTTGAAAACGTTGCGAATTATCTCTATCCTATATTTTCTCATTCTACACCTATTTTATTCCCCAAAGCCGACAGAAAAAACTGAACTGTCCAATTTATATCAAGAATAAGAGAACTTCTAATTCATACAGTGCAGCAAGAAGTGTCATTCATCATTAATGTGATGAAGATAAATGCTTCTGGCCACAAAAAGGAACCTTATGAAGATGACTGTGGTTTGCAGGAAAAAGGAATATTCAGTCATCTTGACTGAATATAATAGCCTGAGAATTCAGGAAGAAATAGGACATTGGGTCCATCCTTTAAAGATATCTTTAAGACCATTTTCACTGTTACTGTTAGCATCCTTTAGGATCTATGAAAGCATTTGAAGAAAATTCTGTGGCTAGTGCCTTTTTTCAATTGTGCATTGGAGATTTTCCCTGCAAAGCATTAAAAGTCAGAAAATTGTAAACAGTTGACCACTACCTCTTTGAAACAGGAAAATGATTTTATTTGGGTGCATGGAGGTATATTTTGAAAATCATATCATAAATCAAAGACACCATCCCTATATACAGATGACTTGTAAATTAAGTCCATTATGCATGACATTATCAGTTCACAGCTTTATGGGTATTTGTGTTGGCCAAGTCAATGTACAGGGATACAAGCTACATCAGCAGTTTCTCTCTGATGTGATTTGGGTTTTGGTTACCATCAAACAGGAAAAAAATGTTAAGTTTAATTCACATTAAGTAATGGTCGGTCAGTATGAATTTAAATGTTTTAATTTGCATGTGAGAGGGATACAGAGAATTCAAACAAACATAATGTTATTCTGTGGACTAATGGCAGTAAATTGAGAATGCACTTGAATATAAAACTCTAGTGAGACAGACTTTAGCTCTGCCATTCTTCAAAAATCAATATTTTGATATCCACTTTTAATTGTTTTTGGTACTGAAATAAATGTATGTTTCCTTAAAGCAGCTCTTTCACTTGTTTGTTGCTGTGGGCTAAACTGGCTGGCCTGGGTTGCTTAAATGCAGTTGCTGTTGCTACCATCGAATTGGCATGCTAATGACTAAAGATAAATCATTCACAAAGGCATTTTTTGAGATATTTATAATTTATTTTCTCTACATCAAAATCATGGGTTTGGGCCAGGAAAGTTAATAACTTTGTTTTTCTTATTTGCTATGAATTATTATGAATCTTTCTCTCAGAATTGACAGAATTGAAGGTTTTTTTATTCTTTTACAACTTTTTCAAAATTCGGCAAGTTGGTTCATGAACGTTCCTAAACAATATTTGCACTCAATTGTAGAGTATGTGTGGTTGTTGAAAGACAGGATATTATTTCCAACTTTTTAATATAATATGTATTTAGAGTTAGCTAATTTCTGTTTATTTGGAACTTGATCTCCCTCATGAGACAGATAATGGGCATGGACACATTTGTTTTCTCAGATTTGTTATGGAATTCTGAAAGATTGTGAAGCCTCATTAAAAATAAGTTGTTAGAGGCCTAGTTTCACTGTATTAGAAAAATAGTTTACTGTTAAAAAATTCAGTATTGTTTCTTCATATATAGTACTTTAATAAAAATAGCTAGCCTGGAATTAATTTAATAAGTGTTTAATTATGAGATAAAATAGCTTAGAAATACATGTTAAAATATATTTAACTTGTAGAGCATGCAGTCAAATCAGAAATCTTCTAAATAATTTTTGAAAAGCTTATAATAAAAACTTCAAAGCCTCATTGGCTGTTGGCATTTGGAATAATTTTTGGCAAAGAACAATTTAAGGTAATACCTATTGGAAGGATATAGTAGTGTTCTTAATTAGATGAAGGGCAATATTAGCTTCCTCTGACGCAACAGGAACATTTCAAGTTAGTTGCAAAAGCCAAAAAATATTTCACGCTCTATTTAACGACACTTACTTTTTTTTCCTTTAATACTTCATATTTCTAATGTTTTTCTGAAAACTACTAAATATTGCTAGCCCATATCACTGATAAGAGTTACTGCTGAAGGAAATGTCTTGATGTGCAGCTCCTCATAGAACTAAAATTAGGTCACAGGTGCAAAATTGAATTGTGTCGGCATAGGTAAAGTATGATATGTTTTACATGTTTTCCTTGTGTCTTTTTTCCTGTTACAATGCTAATACCAGCACTAAATATTATTGTTATAATCTCAGCACTATAAATATTATTGAAGTAATTAGCCTATTAATCAGACTCTTAGTTCTGGTTGGACAACAAAACTTTATTTTTGAATACATGAATCTGTTTAATAAAAATTCACTTAAAAATTTGTGACAATAAATCCTTTTATTTAAATGAGCATTCTGTGTGTAAAAGATTCACCCTTACTAAAAACACAAAACATACATGGCAATGGCCATTTTCCAATGCCAACAATGGTAATAAAAACCCCTTGAAAAATAATTTTAAGGAAGTTTTAATTGTGAACTTTAGAGAGTATTTCTCAGCTGTGATTTCACATGCTTACAAAGCAGAAAACAAAGTGGAACATACAAGGAATATGTGCCTGAAGCTGTAGACTGTAGATATGTATATCTTTGTACTCATCTTCACTTTTAGAAAAATGCTGATGCAATTCTTAGTGCTGTCACTTGTCAAGACTAAGACACAGGAGAGATACATTAGAAACCCATTATTCAGAATGTAGAAATGGTATTTATACTATAATAAGAAAGGAAAGAGACGCTCCTATGTTCATGTCTTTCATTTAATTCTGAAATATTCTTTCTGTTCACTACTAAGAAAATATAATAATATATAAAAGAGTTTGCAGGCTCAAAGGGCACTAAAAGGCCATTCAAATTGCTCTCCTCTTAAGATCCTGTATTTTTTCTTTAAATATTCAAAGTTTTCTTATCATTGTGAAACAGTAGATTTTTATTTGTTTTATAAATTAGCTTTAAAAATTAATATTATATTTGACCACTTTCAGGCTCAATAAAGACATTTAAAGTTGCTTTTCAAATACTTGTTTTTCCCTTGAATATATTATAAATCATGTATTTTTAGTAAAGGAGGAGGAAAATTTCCCTGTCTCTATGTTGTATATAAAATAATTATGTAAGAAAAAAAACAGCCATTTGTCTTTCAAACAATTCCCAAATCCATTTATTTCCTCCTGTGATGCTTGTACCAGAAATGGCATGTGCCAGATACCGTGAAAGAAACAAATTATACAGATGTGCTGGACCTCTTAATTTCTCAAGCCTTCCTGATAACGAGTGATAATTTATGCAGGGCTGGTGTGCAAAAGGCTCTGAATCCTCTCTGCTCTGTTGAACGGGCTCCTCACCAGGGCTGGCTTATCCCACAGCTGGGACTGCTGGGAGCTGGAGGACAGTAGCCAGCACATTCTCTTCAATCTCAGGCTGGCATCTGGACTCCAAATCCATCAGGATCTCACCACAAATCCAGTCTGAATTTTGCTATGGAACAAATATGCATCAGAGACTCTTTGTGTGAGAAGACAGAAGAGCACTCAGTGGGGATTTCAAAAACAAAGCAAAATACGCTGGTTTCTGAATTCATGACAAATGTGTCTGCTTAGTACCTGCTCCTGAGCATTTACAAATAGGCAGGTAGGAATGTGGTGATACCTTTACACATCCTATAATTTTTAAAATCTTGACTGCATCAATATATTGATGTCTGTGTTCATAAACTGCAATTTACAGAACACTGTTACGGTGCTGGGACAATTTATACAGATTATACGATTTACACCCACGGTTTGCAGGCATGGCTTGACAACTGTTGCTATACTGACTATGTTAACTGCTGGCCCATCATTCCCAGGCTTTTATTAAAAATGCAGCAATGTGGTTTACATTACAAAATACTGCCTACACTGGTGACCTGATACTCCTTTAAGCTCTTTATTTCAGACTGTATGAAAACAGAAGAAATGAGCCACTCCACACCTTTTGGAATAAAACATTTTTACTGGATGCATTTAGCTTTCTTTATGGAAATAAAGGTTAATACACTAATTGCAACTTCAATTGGTGCTATAATTGTTGTGAGGAGGGAATGCAAGACTGACAGAAGTTAACTTAAGTGGCTATTTTTACTAATTTGGGAAATAAGATTAAGAGGGTTGAAAAGATGCAGAAGACAAACTCTTGGGTAGTTGCAAGACCAGATTTGATCAGCAATTTCTTGTGTAAACAGGAAGCAGAAGCCTCCATAATCTAGGCGAAAATGGTCAGCAACCTTTTACACTATTTGGACACACAGATCTATGGGGCAGGATGAAATCTGTGCAAGAATACTGAGGGAGAGGATGGGAGTGCCCACTGAGCCAGTTTGCATCATTTATCATCAATTGGGGCAATCCCAGCTGGCTGGATATCAGCAAGTGTTGTGCCCATGGACAGGAAGACCCTCTAGGAGCATCCAAGGAACCGCAGACCTATCAGCCTGACCTTGATGCTGGGGAATGAAGATACTTAATTTAAAAATACTTTTATCGGTTCATTTACTGTTAGGTTTTTGGTTTTCTTTCTTTTTTTCCTGACAATAAGATAATATATGGTTTCTATTTTTAGAAGTGATTTGTATTCTCTGTTTCCTACTGTTCTTTAACATTTCTATCAGGTTCCTAGTGTTCTTTAACATTTCTATCAGGGATGCTTCCATGCACAATCCTTGAGGTCATCTTTATAAATTGTAGGGATATTATAGATTTAAACTTTTTCAGGAGTTTATTTTTAAAAAATCAACAGATATGGTCACAAATATGGAACTAAATTTGGATGGTAGATCTGCTGAAAACTGTGTGACTCAGGACCATAAACCAAGTTCCAGCTCTTCTGACAATTACAACAGGCACAAATTGATTACTAATTAATTATTCTTAACAATTAAGTAAACAGAGAGCTCCTACTAGCACTGTTATGAACTTATATTTATTTCTGCACTGTAAGCTTTCATATACTGTGTGGCCACTAAATTTTTTTTGTCCCATGTATTAAATTTTAATTTTAGCATCAAACAAAAGTACACAAAATTAAAATTCATGTTCAAAAGATCCATCTAGGTCTTCCAATGTCAACTCTATGCCAGGATTTTCATCATTCAAGTTAGCTTGAGCAACTTCTGCACAACAGCACTACTCTTAATTGGAAAGTTAAACTGTATGGTGATTGAATTTATGCTTTCATTTTTGACCTGAAAAAATATCTTTGAATGCTATGGTAGATTCATCTCATTACTCCAGACTCTCTCTATTTACATATTTCTTAATAGCCCAACACTGATACTACTCTTCAAACTTCTCATAACCTCTACAAGACCTTTAGAAAATGACATATCCTTCTGAGAAAGAGTGCAAATATTCAAACTTCAGCTGTGCTGCTTCATTACAGATTTCCTGAAGGGATTTAAATGAGTAGTGAAGGTTTAAGGTTTTGATTGTTGGGTTTAAGAAAACAAAAAACAAAATCAAGCTGTCAGAATTCTCAATCTATATTTAAACCTTCAATAAAAATTTCAGAAATTTTATTTTCTCGAAGAAACTGCATCTCTATTTTCTTCTGAATTTTAGTGATGTGAAGCCATTCCTCAGAGACTGAAGGCTGGGAAACCAAAATTGTGAATTGGCAGAGATGTTTTGAGGTACTCTGAGATAAAGCATTGATGTGAATAATAGTTGATGCACATGTTTAGCTTTCTCGATGATGCCGGTTGCCTGGTAACCAGCAAAAAACATATGTCAGAGAGGAGTTCAAATGAAACAGATGACA